GGGGAAGAGGGCAGAGAAAGACAAACTAGCAAAAGTGAAACCAGCGGGGAACATGAGCCCTCGACAGGAAGAGGTCACTGGGTTTAACGGAGCAAACGGCTGAGAAGGTGAAGAAAATGGACACTAACACTAAAAAAGTTAAGAAAAAGGTGCAAAAGCTGGAAAAGAAACAAGCTTCGGAAGAATCACAACTTTTACAGCTGCAAATGGAGAAAGCAAATTTGGTCCTCAGGTTTCAAGGGGTCCCAGAATTAAAAGGCGAGAATCTAAAGCAACTCTTCAGCGAAGCATTAGCCCCAGTTACAGATTTGAAAGCGGAATATCTTGTAAACAGAATGGATGTGGTCTATAGGTCCTATTCCGTGTACATCAAGAAGAAGAATCTGCCTGGGGAAATAGTGGTCATATTCTCAAAGAGGCATGTGAGGGATTCTATCCTGAAAGCAACTACAGGAACACCCTTGAAAATCGGGGACAACATCATCAGGATTCTAAAAGACTTCCCATTTGAAATAAGGCAAAAAAGAAAGAAATATAAAGATTTAATCCTTTTTCTACAAACAAACAACATTGCCTACAGATGGTTAATTCCAGAAGGCATCATTTTCAAAATACATGAGAAAAAAGAAAAGATTGACTCTGTTCCTAAAGCACGTGAGTTCCTGAGATTGCAACTGGGAGAGATAGCTGTGGTCGAGAAGGAAGAAGATGACAGCAAATCCAGTGGTGAATTGGACTCGGTGTCTTCCGATGAAGACTCTCTTTCTGGTAAGGGAGAGGCTGCCCCCAAACGTGCATATAAATTGAGGATTAGAAAAGACAAAACAAAATGAAGGCTGAAGGACTCTGAATTGTGCCTTAAAACTTTAGTTTTATTATGGGATGCTCTGCGGGTTCTCTTAAACTAATGGACAAAAAGATAACTTAGCATGACAAAATAAAGTAATACTAGCAATTTAAGATTAACATTTATATAAGGTGTTATTATGATCTCCTATTCTTGGGGTTTTAGTTATTAGTGGTTTTCTTTCCTTTCTCCCTAGATGTAGTTACCTCTTCCCAATTTTTCGTTGTAGTTTGTAGTCTATTAAAAATGCAATAAAAAATCTCCTCCGGGGGGGCAAAAAAAGAAGAAGATACACCCTTCTAAATCCTTCCAATGCACTGTAAATTACTCTAAGGCCTCATGTACTGTATATATCGAATTATAAGGCAACTAAGGTAGAAAAGGAGTTAGTGATCCAAGATCAATCAATTAGTTTTAAGGTTTGAACAGGCATCTGAACCCAAGCTTTCCTATTCAAAGTCCAGCATTCACACTTTGCCATTTTATTGTGCTCAACATATGATCTTAGGTCAATGCATGAAATTATATGTCATCTTTTGGGTTTATGGCTTTTGCTGGATTATCAATTGGAAGGTATCTTATTCCTTGATATCATTCTTATAGGCCCTGTTAAGAGACTAGCTCACCTAGTAGTCTCTTGTCTATTCAAGTACATTGATTCAGGCTTGGGCCTAGCAGAAATTTTGGAAGCGTCTCTCTCTGGGAACTCCAGGTCAAGCTGACTATCAAAGAGTGAGATAATGGGAGGTGACACAGGTGCCGGACAGACCATTCAGCCTAGCTATTTTTAGGCCAAAGAATCTGAGGAGTTTGGCCTATGCATTCCATCTCATTAGTGCAAGGGCCCATGGGTGGGAGTGGGGGAGAAGTTATTTACTTGATTGGGCCCTATACAGTTACATATTATATGGTCTCATTATGGCAAATCACCTGATTGGTTGGGTCACCTGGGTAACAACATACCTGATTGGTCAAGTTACATAACTGGCCAAAGATCTGATTGGTTAACTAGAATCAAACGAACATGGGTTGTTAGGCATGATTCTGGGTGAGCCATGTTGGACCTATTTTAGACTTTGAAAATGTTGGATTCAGTCTTGTCAGGTAGCATCTGGATCTAGAACAATGCTTATAAATGTGCTTAGTTTAGATATTCAGCTTTATTAATAATAATACAACAACCTTTATTGGTATTATGCACTAAGAAGTATACAAGACATAAGGAGTACTCAGAACAGTTAACACATAACTTGCTTTTTAGAAGCCAGATATAGAAAAGTTGCCACTATTTCAATAGTTACAGCATTTTTTGAGGAAAGAAGAAAAATGGACTTATAATTATGGCCAGGGTCCGACCTACCTGAGGGACCGTCTTTCCCCACATATACCACCAAGAGCACTTCGGTCGGGGACACAACACCGCCTGGTGATTCCAGGCCCTCGGGAGGCAAAGCTTGCTGCTACCAGGGCCAGATCCTTCTCAGTGGCGGCCCCCACTTGGTGGAACGAGCTCCCAGAGGAGATCAGGGCCCTGTGGGACCTTATGCAGTTCCGCAGGGCCTGCAAGACGGAGCTCTTCTGCCAGGCTTTTATATAGGGGCCGCACTTCTACTACTACCACCACTGAAACAACGGGGTTGGGAGCGGTCCCCAGAAGAACTGCCATAAATTTGAATGGCACTGATGCTGCTGGACTGGCTTGGACCACCGACAAGACAATTTCACCCTAAGGAAATGATCGATACCATCTTCAGAGACCATCTTGTTTGTATGGAGCGCTTTATTTGTTTGTCGTGATTTAATAGTTTTTACTGTTTTACATTGTTTTTATGTATGGGCTTCTGCCCCTCTGTAAGCCGCCCTGAGCCCGTTCGCGGGGAGGGCAGTGTAAAAATGCAAAAAAAAATTAAAACAAATAAATAATAAATAATGATCAGATTGGCCTATTAAATCCATTAACAACCAATCTAAACACTTAACACGAATGTCAGCATAATAATCACAATACAAAAGGACATGCTCAATACATTCTACTTCCTTTCTTCCACAATCACATAGCCTCTGTGCGTAAGGAGTCTTTGAAAATCTCCCTTGAAGTACTGCAGAGGACAATACATTAAAAAAAGCTAACATATAAGCTATATGAATACATGGATTATTGAGGGAGATAAAATATGTTATCCTCTCAGGAGGAATCCCTAATCTCAGGGGAGAACATCTACCAGAGGCATGACTACATAATTCTTGCAACTCAATATCCAGTTTAGCTTTATTATTTCATCCTCACTGTTTTCTGCTCTTAAATTGTAAATTTGGTGTAGTGGTTAAAAGCCAGTTTGGTGTAGTGGTTAAGAGCACGGACTCTAATCTGGGTGAACAGGGTTTGATTCCTGATTCCTCCACATGCAGCCGCTGGAGTGACCTTGGGTCAATCATAAATTCTCTCAAGAGCAGTCCTTGAAAGAGCTCTCTCAGGATTTCCGGCGGTGCGGCGCTGTGCCACGGGCGCGCCTCTCGGGAGCTCCCGAGACGGCCGGCTCTTGTGCGCTCTTTCAGAGCCCCCCGAAGTTCGGGGTTGGCTCCGCTTGGTTCTCCTGGAGGGAGACCAAGGTATGACGCTTTTCCGCCCCCCCGTTTCCTCAGCAAGGACGGGGGCGAGACCGGCTCGCCTCGAAGCGGGAGCGCCCTGAAGAGCGGAAACATGGCCGCCATGTTGAAGACAAGCAGCAGCCAGCCGTGTTTTTAAACAATTTCTTTTTGTTTGTTACAAGATTTTTTCCATGCCGCTTTGCAAGAGAGTGATCCTGTGCAACCTGATTGACTGGGAACGATATATTAAATACCCCTCTCAGAGGACTATCCCCATGGACAAAAGAAATTGGCCGGGAATAGCTTCTGGGAATCGTGAGCGAATAACATGTGGGGTAAGAAAGAGCTTTTGTTGGAAATACCTTTATCTACCTAAAAACTTTATTTGAATATTAGGAGAGTTATCCAAATATAGGCTGTTTAACTTTCAAGAGCTGGAAAGAACCGGAAGTGAAGGGTGAGCAGAATGGAGGTGGCTGCCGTTAGTAAAGAAATACAGGATACAGTAATACATGAACTCAGGTCTGAGCACTTTCAAAAAACTTTGCGAGAAGAAATAAAGAAAGCACTCAACCGAGTATGGGACAATTTTTGGGGGAATTTACAGCCCCTACCTGATAAGGAGAAGAGTAACAAAGAGCAAATAGGGGCACAAGAGAGGAATGAACTACAGCAAATCAAGCAGAGGAAAGAGCTGCAAGATACTCAGGACGCTAATACAGAAGGAAAGGTATATCAGGTGGATTTATCGGAAATGATGGGAGAAGGAGACAGTGTGAAAACAGGAGTGGACAAAAGGAAAAAAATGCGTCTGTTAAAACCTCTGAGCAGAGGAAAAAAGAAGCAAAAAAGGAGAAAAAAGAGGAAGAAAGGTTTAAAAGAAACTAAAGACCTTAACATTACACAACTGAACTGGGACATAAGAGAACAGAAAAAAGAGAAAGAGTACAAAGACCAGCGACATTCATGTGAAAGCCGAGAAAATCAAAGTAGGAAAGAAAAGCAACATAGTATCTGTACAAGGAATGAATGTGACTGGCTGTTGGCTATTGTTATTGGTTATTGAAGGGTCAAAAGGTATTAAAAGTCAATAGGACTTGATGCAATATTAAGGATTGAAGGACACCTCCAAACAGTTGGGTTTATGTAGGAGTTGTACTTTGCAAGTGCTTTTGAGTTCTGTTCTTTCTGAGATAAGCAATATAAGTCTGAGTAATATGAGATATTTGAAATGGGGAAGGGACTATTTATCATGCTTGATGGTGTAATATATTAACCGTTTGTAGGTTGGGTTTCTTCCTCTGATAGGAGTTTAAGGGGAATTATTAGGTAGGAGGAAACAGGTTCAATAGCAATATACTATATAAGTTTTCCTTTTTCCTGAGTTTATATTCTTGTTTGCTCTAGACTGATCAACATGAATTTGTTTAATAGGTCAAATACGAGAGTGTTTGTAGTAAAAGGTTTTGTGCCTTCAGAGGTTTCGCTATATATTAAAAGGGTTAAGGGAACTTATTGATATGGATTAAGCAAACATAAGAATGTTATTAATTTCTTTAGCAAATTAACTGTGATGTGGCACCTCTGATTGGAGATAATAAGAAACAATAAGCAGAAAGCAGATATAGATGCGAATAAGCCAATACAAATGGAATTAAATAACTCAGGCGGAATTAAATGGCTGTATAGTTAATATAGATCAGGTGGGCACAGTGGGAAATGCGAAATGGTAAGCATGAGAATGGAGGGAAGTTAGAAATTATGATTAACTAATTAATAGGATCTAGTGTCATGGAAAGATTATAGTTACTATATTGGTGTTTGTTGGTGGTGGAAGTTTATGGGTGTGTTTGTCTTATTATGTTTAAAAACCCAATAAAAATTTATAAACAAAAAGAAAGAAAGAGCTCTCTCAGTCCCACCTACCTCACAGGGTGTCTGTTGTGGGGAAGGGAAAGGAGACTGTAAGCCACTCTGAGGCACTGAGTGAAGGGCAGGGTATAAATCCAGGCTCCTCCTCCTTCTATATTCCTGAACATTATTTAATAAATCACATTAATTATATTTCGCGGTGTTCTTGGGTTTTGGGGAGTCAATCTGAATTCAGAACTTTAGTCCAGATTGGCTACAGCTACCAGAATAACTGCTTTCTGGAACTCACCTTGTGTCCTACTTTGCAGGGCTGACTTCTTGATCTTAGATGTGGGAGAGCTAGAGAGGCTAAGTGCCTTGGTCTTTGGCTGACAGGGTAGTTAAGGCAACTGGTGGTAGCCTGGGGTTGTAATTATGCTTCAATGACACATAATCACAAAAATGGCTTATTTACACAACTACAGTTCTTAAGAAACTCTTCTTATTTCAGCCAAGCAATGGCACATATTTCAGAGCCTGTGAGGCAGTTTACAGGAAGGTAATGTGGGCATATAGAAAAATCTGTCAGAGCCACAGCTAAAATAGCAAGATGAAGATCTAATTAAATGTCAGGATGATGTCGCAGAAGAAATAACTATTCAAAATCATTACAAAAGGTCATATAGGGAAAAGGAGGAAGGGGGGCAGAGTTGCTTTACTTCCTTCAGGCACCTTTACTGATATTTTCAGATGCAACTTTTCTCTCTCTGGACACCTGGTACAGAACGGTTCTAGTGGGTGTGTGGATAATTCTAATTAGAACCTGTGCTGTCAAATGAATGAGACATTCATCTCAAGCTTGGAGACTAGATAAACTGCAAAGTGTAGCACCAGTTCTGCCACATTTCTGTACCTTCAACATAAAAACATAAGACCTATTCAAATTACAAGAGCAACCAATACTGATACAACTGTTTTGCTAATTGCATTGTCTTTTTGTTATCAAGAACTCAGGCAACGTGTTGCTAAACTAAATAATTCTTAACATGGTTAACCACATGAAACCAATAAGATTAGCTATAATTCTTCCAAAATACTGTAAAAAGAGCACAATGCATAAACATGTTTGTATTACTTTTGGTATCTCTAACTTTTCCATCAGTGCAAAGATCACAAATCTTTAACACCCAGCCTCGGGCATCTGGGCCCTTAGCTTCTTTCCAAGACCTGGTATGATGGACCTCTTCCACTTCCCTTTTTCAGAGACTAGATTTTCCCTCCATTTTTCTGTCCCTTCACTGCCTGAGCAGTCCTGGTAATGTGTTTTTTCTCCCCTGAAGAAACTTTGGCTGTCCCACCCTGTGTCAGTAAGATATAAAGGCTATGTGCTCAGCTCGCCCTTTAACTTAAACCCTTGAAAATGGCACTTGAGATGATTTTAAAATTCAAAACTAACCGAAGGCATATATTACTGACACAGGGTAGGACAGCCAAAGTTTCTTCAGGGGAGAATAAAATACATTACCAGGGTTGCTCTGTTAATAAAGGGACAGAAAAATGGAGGGAAAATCTAGCCTCTGAGGGAGGGAAGTGAACGGGGTCCATCATATCAATACTAAACCCTTTTCTGTCAGGGCTATTCCCAGGCGGTCTCAGTACATGTCTCTTCTCAGTTAAGGCAGGAATCTCACTAAATCTCCTCAGCATACATCTTTCACAAGACTTTTTTACTCAGCTGATGCTGACCAACCAGATTGCCTGAAGCACCCTGTTACTCACAGCTGTCGTAGTACTGGAGCACAGAGATTCAGGAGTGAGTGGACAGGAAGATATATCTCCCCCTCCCAGTGATTCATTGTGGTCCTCCAACTTGTAAATGCTAGTAGTGAAAAAGTAGGGCTTAATCTAGCTCTACACATTTTCTAAGTTTTCAGTTGAGAATGAAGTCTCTGGTTCAGGGGTCCCCAATCTTTTTTAAGCCTATGTGCACATTTGAAATTTTGAGAGGGGGTGGTGAGTTCCAGCCAAAAATGGCTGCCACCAGAGGCAGAGCGAAATGGAATATCTCACTCCTTGCATCTTCTGGGAAGAAAGTAAGCATGAAGGGGAATGGAACCACTCACTGACTGAGGAAAGCCTAGGTGCTTACCAGTCCTCCTGACCCTCCAGTGGAAAACCATTTCCTTTGAATGAAGGCTGCCAATAAAAAGCCCTGCCTTACATTGGCCCCACCCTCTTTTTGAAGTTTGGCAGGCATCAAAGGAAGTACTGGTGTGCACCATGGGGTCCACAGGCACCAAGTTGGGGAACCTTGCTGTGGT